TATGCAGATGACACCACTTTGATGGCCTAAAGTGAGGAGGAGCTGAGGAGCCTTCTAATCAAGGTGAAAGAAGAAAGTGCAAAAACTGGGTTGGAGCTAAACAAAAAAAAAAGATTATGGCAACAAGAATTATTGACAACTGGGAAATAGAGGGAGAAAATGTGGAGGCAGTGACAGACTTTGTATTTCTAGGTGCAAAGATTACTGCAGACGCAGACTGTAGCCAGGAAATCAGGAGACGTTTACTTCTTGGGAGGAGAGCAATGTCCAATCTCGATAAAATAGTGAAGAGTAGAGACATCACACTGGCAACAAAGATCCGCCTAGTCAAAGCCATGGTATTCCCTGTAGTAACCTACGGATGTGAGAGCTGGACCTTAGGGAAGGCTGAGCGAAGGAAGATCGATGCTTTTGACTGTGGTCCTGGAGGAAAGTTCTGAGAATGCCTTGGACTGCGAGAAGATCCAACCAGTCCATACTTCAGGAAATAAAGCCCGACTGCTCATTGGAGGGAAGGATATTAGAGACAAAGTTAAAGTACTTTGGCCATATTATGAGGAGACAGGAAAGCTTAGAGAACAATGATGCTGGGGAAAATGGAAGAAAAAAAGGAAGAGGGGCCGACCAAGGGCAAGATGGATGGATGGTATCCTTGAAGTGACTGGCTTGACTGTGAAGGAGCTGGGGGAGGTGACGGCCGACAGGGAGCTCTGGCGTGGGCTGGTCCATGAGGTCATAGGAATGAGTAAATGCATGAAAAGAATAGTAATAATATATGGAGTGCTATTGAACTGGTATCCAAACACATTTGCTATGAGGTTGTTATTGGTTCTTACACTGTACATTATTAACATGTTCGTTATTAACATGGGTTTCAAATACCTTAAACAAGCTTGGCCTATCAAATGCTTTTATGCATTCATTTTGGGCCCCTACCTCATCCCCCAAAGCTGTTACTAATGTTATTTAACTGTAAAAAGACATATACAGAAAAGTCTGACCTTTATTTTTTAAATATTTTACATTTATATAGCATTTATCTTTGAAATCTTACCTGGACATGTGGGGCAGCACATTCCTAGCTGTTTAGAAGGGTTTTTGCAATGAACAATGCATTGAATCTCAGATTCTGTGATCACTCCTTCCTGCCAGAGAGAATAAGAAAGCAACAGAACTTTAAAAGTTCAATTAGATAACGGACATACGAAGAGTAATTAGAAAAGCAAAATGGAGAATTCATTATTAAAGACTGACAACAAGTGGAGCAAGAAACTTATAAGCTGCAATGACTTTCTTGTTTAAAAATCTTGGAAAGCTGTAACACAGATAAAAAGAATGGAGATTTTGAAGGAATAAAAACAGAAATGGAGGGGAAAAAATATGCAACAAAAATAATCATTTACTGGCAAAATTGTATGATTTCCTACTAAATTTTAATTTAGAGGAGGAACAAATGTTTAGAAGTAGAGGGTACAATATTAATTTAGTCCAATAACAGAAAACACAGAAAAAAATTAATCACATCTTCTTTGTTATGATTTGAATAAAAGGGAAATGATGTGTCAATGTTACTTTTCCTCAGCTCTACTAGCGAGAATACATAAAGAATTGAGTAATAATTGTCAGAAACGTGTTTTGTTTTTCTTTTTTAATAATAGGTGGTTTGCTCTGTCATGTGGTGGAAGTTTAGGACAGTACACAATTTTAGAAAATAATTAGATTCTATTTACAATTTTTTTAAAAAAATATAATCAAATTTAAAACCAGACTTCTTGTTACATTTTTGAGAAATGTTCTAGATTAGAAAAATAACATTGAAGGTTAAAGTGACCCATGGTGACATCAGCACAAATAGTTTGTGCTAAATATTGTGAAATTTTGACAGTCCTTCAACTGAAAATTGGTTTCTGTTATTTCTAATACTTTTCAAAACCAATTTAGGTTTTGAAATTTGAGAATATCTGAAAAGAATAGAAGGGGATTTAATGATAACAGGATCTGAGATGTGGAAATTGAATCACTTGATTATGAGGACTGAGCAGATGAATGGCTATTAAATTTTGTTTTAAGAAATTGATATGTATGAAATCATGTATACTTAGATGGTATTTAGAGTGGTTATAGATTATAGAAATAATCTTGCAATTAGGATATGTTTAATTATTTTTTATCTAAAGTAGAGGGCATAATAATGATATATAGAGCTATACACTTTTCAGTATAAACTGGACAATATTTTAATAAGCTCAATTAGACCCCTTCCAGTCTGGCTTCCATAAGGGGCATGGGACGGAGACTAAAAATAAATTGGAATAAAATAAAAACATAAAGTAAATATATATTTAAAGACAAGTAATAGCTAAGCATTCGCAGTGGATGCGCCTTTCCTTCAAATGGGATGCTGCTTCACAAAGTGGAAAGAATTGGTTAAAGAAGAATAGTTGCTTTATCCCTTATCTACATTTTTCTACTCTAAATTGCATCCCAACAGTTTTTTACTCCACAAAGTGCCAAAAGCTCAATAAAGGAGGACACTTTCATATTTCCATGACTAGAGAAGTAACTGGCACTGTGACTTGATGGGGCAAGAAAGGTCTACAACTGAAAAGAGAACCATTTGGCCCAAGAAGATATCTAGAAGAATTTTTAATGAGTCTCATGGGAAGAATTAATATGAAAAAACTGATTAGGAATTCCATCTCAGGTCTTGGCTTGTGTTTTATGTTTCCACAGCCATTCAGACTGTGTCCACAGGTACCACCATAAGAAAATTATTTGGTGCAGCTTTGTTTCATGCACTACATTCATCAGTAACTCCAAACTAAAGTAGACCATTGAATCAATAGAAACTTAGGAAATCAACAAGCATGGAAGTTCTACTGATTCAGGGAGCTAACTTTAGTTTGGACTAACAACTGTGTCCTATTCAACTCTTTATCTGCATATTACGGTCCATATGGAGATTAACCCAAAAGGCATGAATCTTGAGATAAAAACAAGAAGATGATAAGAATGATGTCAATCTTATCAAAAATCATTAGCCCAGAGGAGATGTGACAATAACCAGTCATTCTGTTTTCACAGTAACAGCCTTGAAAAAAAACATTCCTTCCACCCTAGATCCTTGGCAAAAAAAGGAGCTTATTGAGAAGAGATAAAAGGTTCTCAACCTAAGGGATGGAAGCTTCTTATCACTGATGGTTCTGCTGATAGGGCCAAGTAAATGATTTGCATTCCTTGCTCCAGAAGCTAACATCCTGATAGATTTGGAAGGGGAGGAGTATATTTTGCTTTTTTCTGATAGATCTGTTCGTATTCCTAAGCACGGAGAAAAAGAGAAATAATTTTTTTTAAAGTTCAAAATTTGAGCTTTAAAATGAAAATAGAGCTCAGTTTTTCATTGGAGCATTGAACAGAAGAACCATACGAAGTCCATGAGTACACACTTCATCAATAGCCATATATTTAATATAAATGACTAGTGTTTTTATTTAATTCACCGTTCTACCTCCATGCTGTAGGGGATTATTTACCCCGATGTTGGAATGCTGTGGATTTTACTTACCCACAATTGGCAACCTATAGCTATGGGGGAGGCAGAGAATTGTCACAACACGACAATGCCAGCATGTCAGCAAGTTACCACAGACACAAATAGATTTAGCACCAAGGAAAATCCCTCTTAGGAGAGACTGACAAATCCAAGGCACTACCGTAGAGATGCCTCCCATGAAATCGCAGCAAGATCCAAATATCAATCAAACTGAACATGAGCAGATCCATGCCGAAAAGTTGGCCCCCTGTGGTACCTGGATAACAACTTACAAGGAAGAATCTTGCTGATAATATACATAGACATGACACTTCTTTTTATATATACATTGCAGCAGAACACATTATTTCATACCACAACTCCCTGGTTGTTTAACTACCCTCTGCTGCTGGTTCATTCCCTCTCTCACTGCTTGCTACTAAATGGTTGGGGAATTGCATCAGTGTTGGAAAGTAATCTGTGTGAATCCAAGTAGAGCTTTCCTTTCAACAGAGCCATATGGGACCTCAGCCATGGTTTACAGGTCAGTATCAGTGCTTTGCATTGCATTGCACCCAGAAATGTTCTGAAAAACATTACAGCACTCTCCCAACTAAGATGAATGACCATGGTCAACCTATTTCTGCCCAGGAGGCCACAATGTCATACAAATTTAAGCTGGTGAAGGGCACATCTTCATTCAGAAACCAATTAGGCTTCCTAATACAAAGTCAGGTTTAACAAAGTCTACAGAGACTATGAGCCTCAACATAGAGTGTAAGTTCATACGATCTACAACAAACTGAGCAGCAGTATCCTGAAATTTTAAAAAACCCCACAAAACTCCATATTTCACGTACTAAGATTCATTTTGTTGATCTTAAATATGTATTTCTGACCCTACTTGTAAACATATATTTCTGATCCTACTAAACCTGAGGATCTGTTTTACCTTTGAAGTGTCTTCGAAATACATTTTTAAGTAGAAGGTACAAAAACCATGTTTTACTGTTTAGCTTCCCAGAAAAATTCAGAATAAGCAATACTTAGATATACGATATTTAAGGGTTGAGAACTCTAAAGATAGTTTCATAGTTAATATAAACATTAAAGATTTTTAGAGCCCCATTCTTTCAACATCTTGAATCCATTTCTCTTCCTAGAAGTACTTTCACAGAAGGTCTTGCATCTTTCCTCAGGGAGTTCTTTACTTTCTTACTATTTTCATAGTCAAATGTCTGAGCAAAATAATACATACAATGCTACCCTTATGCTGATGATGCCTTCTATTCTTCTCTTACCTCTAGATTTTTCATTTAACTCCCCACTGCTGATCAATTTAATTAACTGAATAAATATAAGACAAAATTCTCACCTTTCCTCAGCTTTATATATATTGGAAATGTTAAAAAATGAAACTTTGTGCTCTATATATATATATATATATATATATATATATATTAGACACCGCATGGCGCAGTGGGTTAAAGCACTGAGCTGCTGAGCTTGTTGATCGAAAGGTCGCAGGTTCGATTCCGGGGAGCGGAGTGAGCTTCCGCTGTCAGCCCTAGCTTCTGCCAACCTAGCAGTTCGAAAACATATATATATAGTGTCTGCTTAAATGTAATGCTTGTAATATAATGAAGACAAAGTTTTCTTGCGGCATATAATGTGGTCATGTTCAGAGATTACTCCTTTTTTATTGGATGTGTATTAGAAAAATCTGTGGTATTGAATGTAGGGCAACATTGTTGGATCCTCTGTGCTGTCATTGCTCAAAAACTCATAAGACTGCAAGGCAGGAAAGATTATAATTCATTATCCATTGGCCAAAATATCTCATTGCTTTAGCTACACATAAATATATTTCTACGTCAATGTCTAAAAAATGTATTTTTGGAAAAATTGTCAGTCTGTATGTATATATCTCCTTATTCCATGCATTTCCTATTTTCAATTTTTAATTGTTTTTTCTCTATTCCTTTTTTTTCTTTGCTATTATACTTTTAAAATCCAGTAAATTATATATTTAACAATATAGCTTAAAAAGCAAATACTGCAAATGTAGCCTCAACACTAATTTTATTCCTTACCTGACACTGGTGCTTGATACATTGCTTGCTTGGAACATACCATGACTCTGAACTATTGTATGAATTCCCTTCAAAAGTGCATCCTAGGGATAAAAAACAGAAAGAATAAATAGACCAGTCCTTTTTTGCTAGCAAGCCATACAAAGCCACTAAAAACCATCAGTTTCCTTAAACAGGCTATTCAGTTTCTATAGTTTTGCATCCCATATCCTTTAAAGTAAGTCTGTTAGCAAACACACAATTTGGAAATGTTCTCCATGTAAAGAAAAAATAAGAGAGGTTTCCAAACCTCATGGGTCAGAAAATATATCTGAAAACATGCTAATAGCTAATTGTAACACTCTGCAAGAGAAAGAGAACCACTGAAAGGGATGGGAGCCAATGGTGCGGTTAGGACGAGTTTAGTAATTTCAATCCTTTCGGGCTATGTGATAATGAGACTGAAGAAAGAAAAGAAAACAGCAAAACTTATTCTAACAATGTACTGTTGATAAATAAAAAAAACAGTGCCTAGGAAAATAGCAAGAGTATTTTGAAGAATTTGTCCAAACCACACATCCTTTTTCCATAGTTTTATTTCTTTTTCAAGAAGCTGCAAATTAACCCACCTAACCAGGCTATAAACGTCTGTAAAATTCTTCAGAAAATCAACTGAGTGGTAAATATCTTCCACTTTGGCAAGTTTACTCAGCCAGGTAGAATTCCACCTGCTACATGACTGAGCACACAGCATATTTGGCTCAAAAAGTAGCAATTACTGAATTCCTTACATTCAGAGATATCCTTGAAGGCATTGCTTTCCATCCTGCTCATTACACCATAATCAAGCATTAAGGCTATTCATACTACTTATCTTCCAGATGAAGAGAAGGAAACTTCTGGATTAAATCAAGTAGGAGAAGGAATCATAAACTTCATTTCAGTGCTTTTCTAATGTGTAGTGCAGAAGTCCAAGCTACTTTCATTTCAACTACAATTTTAGTGGTTTTTCCTACCAATTGATATACTTAAACCTTTTAGACAACTGCAAATTGTTTTATCAAGGTAAAATAAATAAATATCTGAGGGTCATATGCTTATTTCTTTGTGGCAGAGATAGAAAGATCATATTATCTGCTGCAGCCTGCTTTGTATTCTTTGCTGATCCAATGTTATCAAGAAATGTTGTAAAATTAGAAGCTGTTGTTTGAATGGAGTAGATTCCACAAAGAGCACAACGTTCCTATCTCTGACGGCAACCAACATCAGTTGATGCAGCTGAATATCATTTTGATTTTTTGTTCATTATAAAAAACAAAAACAAAAAACCAAACAAACAGGCCAGGTCTAGGTTCCCTGATTCTGCCAGAAATGAATTAACACAGAATAAATCAATGTTTCCCTGTTTGTTCTGTATCAATTAAACATCTCATGAGATTCAGACTGACTCCTGGGACACGTCACAAATTCCCCAGAGGTCAATCTCCACTGCCATCTTGCACCTTTGGGCTCCTGCCCACGCCCCCCCCCACCCCAATTAACCCCCTAAAACTTACTGAAAAATGTCCCTATCTGCCACCTCTCCTAGAGTCCTTGTGGTGTGAGCAAATGATATCTGAGGAGACCGGGGGGGGGGGATTATCCTCCTTACCCTTCACATCTCAAGAGTCATTTTTTACACCATGAGGAGAGGCTGCATGGTGGCTAGGGACCCTTTCCAGTAAGTTATGGGGGGTAGATAAAGGGCTCTGGGGTGGCTTCATGCTATCCAGATTTCAACTGGGATAGCATGTAGCCACCCCGGGAAAGAAATCCCAGGGTTGTGGGTGGGGGTGGGGACTAGAACCTGCACCAAAGCAGGTTACTTTAACCCATTTTGACGTGGGTTTTAGTGCTATCTGGAAGTGCCCTTAGTTCCATTATCAGGGTGCAATAAGTGAAACTGGCAAATGCTTCACTGGAAACCTCCCTAGTCTTCAATAACTGGGGGAATCAATTTCCAAACAAATCAGTAATTCTCTGTTCAGTGGCTAGCAAATTTACCACAGCAGGCAACTGAAGGTTCTGATCATGGTATCTATGAGCCTGATCCCAATATGATCTCTTGCAATTGTATTTGCTCCTTGATCTTCATCACATGCATTCTAGCCTTTTTTAATGTAAGCAAAATCCAAAAAGCTAGCTACTCCACCACACGGGAATGATTTGGACACATTCCATTTTGCATTTCTAAAGAATAATCTTTTTACAACCTGCTTCATTTTACATCCAGTTCCCAAAGAACATGTACAGAATACTCTGACTTTTACATCCTGTTCAAAAGAATACCTGGAATCAAAAAAAGTTTGATTCCAGGGACACAAATGTCTGAGTCCTGATCAGTATCAAAGTAAGAGGTTCACTGGGCTGATTGGGAAAGGGCCATGATGCCAAAGAACTAATAAATTGTTTTGTGCTAAAACCCACCCACACACCTGAAATGGGTTGAAATTTATTGTAATCATAAATATGCAGAAGACAAAAATGTTTCCCTAATGGATTCTAATTTAATATGTAGATTTTGAGTTTAGCGGATGGTTTTAAACACTGGGAGAAATTGCAAACACTAAGAAATGTATTTTTTTTTTCAAATTTCAATTGCCTAAAAATTGGAGCATGAAGCAATTAACAAAGTATTCTTCCAGATTTGCCAAATCACAAGAAATGAACTAAACTCTAGTGCTGCTGGGAAGATGTTCCCAATGACAATGAGTCAGATCTGAATATAAGTTGGTGATGTGCATTATTGCAAAAATGTCTACTAGAGATGCATTCATAGAAGCAGTTGTTATGTTTCATCAGTAGTAATGTGTTAAATTTTTCATCACCAAATTTTAAAAGCACCATAAACAAATTAAAGAAAATATGAAGCAGGGCAACAAAGATAATGTGTTGTAAAAAGTTAAGAAACAGAAGCATAAAGTGATTTTTTTCAGTATGTTTCTATATTATGAATCTTAGAAAAAATAATCTTATGAGGCAAGAACAAGAAGGCATAATATACTTTTTTCTGGAATTCCAACCTACCATGACAACATTTTAATCGCGTAAATAAAAACACAAATTAGGAAAAATACATTTAAAATGTCATGAAAAAAAATGTGGAAAAAAACACATTCTTACAATCTTATCCAAAGCAAGGGAAGGGAGGAAAATGTGGCATGAAGGTTAAAGATGGAGAGTGAGAAATGCTTTATTTTGAAGCATTTTCGTAAGGAAGGGGGAATAACTAGTAAAATTAATTGAGATTTGTGGCATACCTATGACCTGTGTTTCTGAGCAATTAAATAAAGTCATATAAACAGTGTAAGAAAAAAGCAGTGCTCACAGATGGCTCACAATTAAGCCACTATGACCCTTTCCCCTGGAGAAATGCTAAAGTCCCTAATTTAGTAGTCCCGCCCAAAAAATCTAGATAACCAGAAATCATTTTGAACCCTGTTTTTATGATTCTGGACTCCTACGGACATCAAGAGATGTACTTTGGGAACAGGAATAGAGTATGCCTCACAGTTATCATAAACGTAGCTTATCCATCTCCAATCCACTAATAACAAACACTTATTCAGAAAGCAAATATATATTGTTATAGATGGAGACAGATCCAAATTAAAATGACATATCTCTGTCCAACTGAATAAAGAGAGTCTGCCAAATACATTTCTATAACAATCTGTGAACTCATGTGTTTTGATTAAATATATTGAATAAATGAAGGCAAGGAAAGGGATTTTCTTTTTTGCCCTACTGCTATAGCCCTAGAAGAAACAAGGCAACCATCTGTTCTTTAATTCTTTCCTTAGAAGTGCATGAAGAATTACTGGTAATTACATAAGAATTGTCTTCATGATAGCAAGTAGTTCAGTACCATGGATCCAGCCATAGTTGGATCCAGACTGAACTAGCTGTACTTATGTATGTGCATGTGCCTTCAAACTGCCTGTCGATTTATGGCAAACCCATGAATTTCATAGAGTCTTCTTAGACAAGAAATACTATTTCCTCTGAAATACAGCCTATAGCAGCTGGTATTCATTGGCAATCTCCAATTCCTGTAACTTAGCAGAATTGGCCCTGCTTAGCTTCCAGGATCAGAAAGGAGCAGGGGGTTTTAGGCACCAAGAAGTGATTATACATAAAGCATGACACTGATTTCAATGGGAAATACAACATAACCAGGATCCAACCTTATGAATCCTCCAATTTTGAAAAAAAAAAGTATATTAGTGTTTGCAATACCTTGAAACAATGAGGGTTGAACACCTTGAAACCATTGGGCAGTCATTTTGAACAACAATAAAATGAAGGGGTAGGGGGTCAGTGTTTCTCAACTGCAGTGAACCACGTAAAAAATGTCTCAATGTTCTACAAGTTGATATTTATTCCAGAATCACTTCTCTCAAAAGAAATGATTTCTCAAAATCATTTTCTCAAAAAGGAAACATAAATTTACTCTTGTTCAGCAAGTTCAAAACAGCAAAATAAGCTTGTGGTATTGCGTCAAAATAACAGTCCTTCAGAGTAACAGAACACACATAATCTTTGTATGCAATCATACCAACAAAGATGGCATGGCTTCACCAATTTCCATCCCTAGTGAGCAAGGGAGAGCCTCATGTATCCCGATAGGCACCCAGTTATACCCCAGTGGAAGTGGCCCAAACCTACTAGCCTTAATGAGCACATTCATGTAACCTGCATATAACAACCACCAGAATTAGTCCTTTTTCTCTTAACTCACCTGGTACAGGGAAGGTAGTAATCACACGCAAAATTTACTGCCAGTTTTACAGAGACCTTAACACATATTACACTTATACTAGTCACTCCACTGGTTGCCAATGAGTTTTTAGGCAAAACTACAAAGTGTTGGTTTTGATCTTTAAAGCCCTATATTTATTTGGGTTCAAGTTACCTACAGCATCATCTGCTCCAGTACAACCTACCCTTGGGGAGATAGGGTGGAATATAAAGTTTTAAAAATTATTATTATAGGTCTGTTACTCCAACCAGTCAGAACCCAACTGGTGACTGTAACCCAGAGGACTTTTTCATTGGCTGCCCCAAAACTGTGGAATGACCTGCCAAAAAAGCTATGACAACTAAATCAGCTTTCCGAATTTAAGATGCAACTGAAGCCCCATCCCGTCTGGCAGGCCTACCCAGTCAATTTTAAATTGTGATTTTTAACATGCAGGGTAAATTTTAATCTGTATTCTATCTGTGTATATTTGTTATGTGTATTTTAATAGTATTTTGTTTTATCTTGCTGTTTTACTGATGCTGTACCCTTCTTCGAGCCATAAGGAGAGGTGGGTAATAAATACCCATGTGCTTTTAAAATGTGGGATAAGAAATACTTTCAATGTATGCAAATTCAGTTCAAAATAGAGTTTTCCCTTGTGGAGCTATGAAACCAGTGCCTATGGTTTCATTTATCCACATCTGACAAAATATGTCTTCAAAATGGCATTCTCCAGGTCCTACTGTTCTTGGGGTTGGGGTCTTTCATTGAATAGCATTTGCTATTATCCATGATTTTGTGTATCCATCTGCAGTTTGGGAACATTTCCCCATGGATATGGGTGTTGTACTGTAATCTAAAGAGGCATTTAGGTTGTCCATTAGATCAGTTTTGTCAGCATTGCGGTACACTTTATTTATCTGGCACTCTCCCCTCCCCCATCCCTCAAAAACCATTGATATTCTAGTTATACTGGGTGTGGTGTTAATGGGTGTGGTACCCCAGTAACACATCTTAATATTATCTTTTCTTAAGTTACTGTGTTCGTGTCTAGAGTATTTCTTAGCTATCTCTTAAGAACATTTCATAAACAGTGCATTTAATTAAGTTAAATGTATGTGCGTCAGATTATGAGATGAAAAGTTTCCTAATAGATTATGTTTAAAATAATATGTTATCATACATATGAAATAAATGGATAACAACAAGATCATAAAACAAGATTTTTCATGTCATTCTCAAAAATATTCATGTGGTTTATGGAAATTATTAGAGTTTACAGTGGCATTGTTATTATTACTATGAACATATATTGTGTGTGTGTATATATGTAAGATACATTTTTTCCAAAAGATTTAATGTGTACTTTCTAACTTTCTCTGTTTTTCTTTTTTAAATATACATTCTGGTGTCTAAATGCCAAATGTAGTATTTCTAATGTTCAGTGAATTTAGTTGGGGATTAACATTAATTTGAAAGGCCATTTCACAAAGTGCAACTTAGCAGGCCACAACCACACATTGTAGTTCATTTAGCAGGCTATTTGGGAGGGGAGTAGTAGTAGGATCAAGATGCCAGTCAATTCATAGGTCAGGTGTTACCAGCTGGCCACCTATTATTTGATTACTACTAAACATCCCATGGAATAAAGAATGCTATCGAATGAGTGCAATACCCCCACCTTACTGTCAAACATCTTGCAACAACTGAGGATTCAAGTCAGGAACTGCTGGCACAGTTCTTATCATGGTCAGGATAAATACAGACTTGCCATGGGTAAATCACTTTTGACTATTGGGTTGTCATAATCACAGTATGTGTTCTATAAACTCAAAAGGCTGGTTCAGATATTACAAGATATTATTAATTGTAACAAAGAGGTCAGGATCAGCCTGCAGGATCACATTTACTGTTCTTGAAACCGATTAATCAGATTTTGAAAACAGTATCTGAAACTGGTTAGGAAACTGAGAACGTGTTAGCTTTTGCTGTCAACATCATCAACATATCCATGGAGTGAGAGAAGGATACTGGACAGCAAAGGAAATAGCTAAAGGGAGAAATCATGGAGACATGAGTACTGACAGAAACGTTTAAACCATGACCAAGCAACACTGAATGCTATATCTGGACCAGTTGTTTAATCATATCATACAAAAACAAAGTATTATCGAAGGCTTTCATTGCCAGAATCATTGGGTTGTGGTATGTTTTTCGGGCTATATGGCCATGTTCTACAAACATTCTCTTCTGACGTTTTGCCTGCATCTGTGTGCCACAGATGCAGGCGAAATATCAGGAGAGAGAATGCTTCTAGAACATGGCCATATAGCCAGGAAAACCTACAACAACCCAAAAACAAAATATGTTGAGAAACCTAGTTAACAGTGACACACACACACACGAACTAAGAGTGTACTGAACCAATCATAAGTGTACTCATTTGCCATTTATGTACTCATACGGAGTGTTTCCATGTTTCCCTGTGTGCATCTATATCTGCATGTAGGCCAACAAATTGTATAGTCTAAACACAACAAAATTAATGTTCAGAAAAATGAGAAGCCACTGCACCTTTGCATCGCTCGCAGCATGCTCCCCTCTGTTTAACGACCAGAGCACAGTCCTTTGAAAGTAGGGGACACTTCTCTCGTTTGCATGTCACTTCCTTGTTCTGTGAGGAGGAAAGGTAGGAAGAAAAATGTAGTATCAGTCTCCATTTAGTGCTAGTAAGAAAGTACACTATGATGTCAGATTTGGAAATTTTCCCTCTGCTTGACAAGGGATATGTGGAATACAGAGAGGGCATTATTACCCTTTCATACAATCAGACACAGTTTCTCCCTTGTGACAGATCTGTAGCTGAGGGGAACTGAAAAATTGGGGAGACAGGGAGATCAGTGGCAAATCTTAAAAGGAGACTGAACCCAGATAAAGTTCTGCCAAAGGAAATATGTGACTCGTTTCATGCTAATGTTACTTTTTGGTATACTTTAGAAAGGATAATATTTGTGTAAACTGTAGCTGGAGCTCTTAGAATACCTGGCCCAGGACTTCCTTGTGCGAATAAAAATATTTAGCCATGGCTGTTCTACAGATCTGCATATTCCAGTTGGGATTTTTTTAAAATGCAAGTCTAAATCTCCAAGCAAAATAAAGACAAATATGGCCTCAGCGAACTCCATTTATAGAACACAAAGATAATCACGAAGTAAAACTGCAAATCAAGAATAATGCAATAAATATTAGGCACAATAATGTTGAAGAATAGGGTAAATGTTGTCACCATAATTGCTAATAAGTGTGAGATTCCCTATTCTAGATGTTGTTAGACTGCAATTCCTATCAGCCCCTGTCACAACATACAGTACAATGGTGAGGGAGGGTCAGAGTTGCAATCTGTCAACCTCTGGAGAGCAAAATGTTTCCCATCCCTAGTGTAAATTAAATACAGGTTATAAACATGAAGGACTTTTAATTCCCATTGATTCTGACAGTAAAAAATAAGTACATGTTTTATTGATTGATTTTTTACATAAAACTAACCAGTGTTTTAGCATCAAGAGAACAAGTTTCATATGCTTTCATTGCTTCTACCACTGTCCTGAGGAGGTCAAAACCTTTGTTTCTGTTTTACATACCATAGCTATAGTTAATGGTGTCCTTCAGGCCCTAACTGTGGCTAATCTGAGTTGGGGTTAGTTCATGCAAACTAGTTTCCTAAAGGCGTGAAACTTTTTTATTTACGAACCAAACTCAGATTAGCCACCATTTGACTAGGTTAAGAAAACACAAGAAGCAGTGGTTAATTTAAAACAGAAGCCAAAGTTTCTAACATCTCACTGAATTGCTCAGTGTTTGCTTAAGTCTAGCTGTAGCTTCTTCTAACAGTTCAAAGCAACTGTTTGACAGTACCCAACAAGCCCATTTTCCCATTTAAATGGGTTTCTTTTCATTTGGATTGTGTTGTTTGCATTTAAGCACTCTGAAAATGTTTTTCACATGAATAGGTTTACTACTACTAAATAAAAACCAGTGACAAGGACAAATGATGGTAGCAATTCTGCTAAGAGGAGGAGTAGCAGCATTAATGGCCTCCAGAATGGTTAGCCTCCTCTGCCACTCCACCCTAAGCTAGTTTTGCACCATTTACTTTCAGAAATAAAATTTTACTACTGGAATTCCTTCCTTAAACATAGCATACAGGACTTCACTCTTCAGTGATCCCCATCTATAATTACTGGCTTCATCCATCACATGATGGGGATGCCCGAATGCCACTGTCCACCATAGCAGATGACATGGCCTAATTAGAGATGTCAAAAAGTTAGGAGAATCAAAGGGGAAAGAAGAATGTGAATCATAAAACAAAGTAATGAAGAGTCTCTGATTTGTTCTTTGTTTTTGATGGCCAAGGTACGTTTAAAGGCTAACTCAACATTTTCCCTGTATCTTTCTCTCTTAGGTTGTTTTTAAAGGAAAAACATACCAGTTTGTGTCATTCCTTCTGCAATCCATGTCAGTTTTGTTATAAAAAAATGATCAATTATCTCCTTCCCCAGCCAAATCTCCAATTATTTTAACTGCAATGAGTATAAAATATGAGCAGGAAGAATTTGAAGATCAGCTGCTGTCAGAATAGGGTCTATTGTTAAAATGATTCACTTATGTGCTCTTCTGGTTATTTTATTCTATTGTGCACTTACTAACACTTGGACATAAATCTGGCCTACATTGATAGTTGTTCATTTGTACATCTTACTCCTGTTTCTGAGTTTGCTCAATGCAGGCATAGCATACACTGACAAAATTGGCTAAGTTGCATTTGTGTTAAATTCTGCTTTTTTAAACATTACCATAAACCCCAGCAAAAATATCCCCCCGTAAATTGTGGAGATTTCCACAGGCAGGAAAATTCACCTCAGAGTCCCACCTCTTTCAGACACTCAAGATTAAATTAAAGAAAAGAAATACATGTTAAAAGCATTTGTTCAATTGTTGCAAATGACTGTCTAATACCTAAGACAAAGTTATAAATACACATAATGAAATAATCCCTTCTGATAGTAAATCATGTCTTATTTAGAGGGATCATTTTACTATGCGCCAACAACAAGTATTCAGGAAAAGATTTGGGTTGATCCTTTCTGGGCAACATTGATTGGGAGCAGAATTAAAACCCACTCTTCATGGTAAAATCCATATATAATATCTACCTGCAAATATGTTCCAGTTGTCAAAAATCCCAGCCAAATTCCACACAAAACTGTATTGCTTTGAGCAGGGGTCCTCAAACTAAGGCCTGGGGGCCGGATACGGCCCTCCAAGGTCATTTACCCGGCCCTCACTCAGGGTCAACCTAAGTCTGAAATGACTTGAAAGCAAACAACAACAACAACAACAACAACAACAACAACAATCCTATATCAATAGCCAAAATCAGGCCCACACTTCCCATTGAAATACTAATAAGTTTATATTTATTAAAATTGTTTTTCATTTTAATTATTGTATTGTTTTAAGTGGTTTTTGCACTACAAATAAAATATGTGCAGTGTGCATAGGAATTCATTCTTCTTCTTCTTTTTTTCAAATTATAATCCAGCCCTCCAACAGTTTGACGGACTGTGACCAGGCCCTCTGTTTAAAAAGTTTGAGGACCCCTGGCTTTGAGCATTAGATCCCTTTATTCTCTATTCATCCTAGTTTGGAAGTTATGGTATCATTTTTCTCCTCTGTGAATTGCTTCATGTAAGTTACTGTTCCCATTGGGCATGGGACTCTTTTAGTTGCTCATTTCATCTTATGCTTTCCTTTTTATCATTTCCCCCTGGTTCTGCTTCACTTTTTCCATTAGCCAAAACATTTTGAGGGAATGTCTCTTCTTTTTCTTTTAAAAAGAAGTTCTTTTAAAAACAAAACATTCTGACAAACTATATATGGTGCTATAGAAGTATCATTGTGTCCTGTCTCCCACCACATTGCTTTTTTGCCTCTCACTATGTTCCCCTTTGCAATCATCCAATGCTTCAGTTCATACAGGTAATGCATGTGGCCAATGGTGATATTACCCAGAGCAATAAAATGAGACATGGCTTCATTTTCAGTTGAGCTACTAATTTAGATGGTTTCTATAAGTCTCCTTTGACTTAGGCAGAAAAATATCTTGGGACAGACCTTCCCATTTCCTTTCAATGTACATTTTTTGCACTACCACCAGGATTGCACACTAGTTCTTCAACCTCACACAAACAATCCAAAGTCTGGTTTCTATCAACAAGCTCTTAAGACATATGTCTGGTGGCTTCTCAGTGATATGACTTTAATGTCAGTGGGACAGTGGATTTAGTCTGGGTTTAATCTAAATCTTAAAGAAGCTACCTAATAGGCTGCATCTATTTTGAAATTCAGCATCTTAAAATGCTCCTTTAAAGTTTGGACTAATGCTTGGTGGCTTCCCATGGACATGGAAGCCACCAAGCATTACTGAAAAGCTAAAAGCCATTCCTATATGTTTTAGAAACTTGTTTTAAACATTACAGTACTAAGAAATGATATGATTTTACTATCTTTATTCAGCCAAAAATACTTGGCAAGTCTCCAAATGCAATCAAGTGTTGGTTTATAAGACTGCCCAAAAGCTAAAACCCTTCTGCTTTTCCTGCCTGCCTGATGAAGAAGTCTATACAGGTTGAAAATCTAGATGATTCCCTGCCAACACACAGTTGGCTCAAGGAAGATATTACATTACCGATTCTGAACTTCAAAAGATCTGCTGAATATTCATCTCTTAAAACAAGCATGTGTAATTCCACGGAAACCTTTGGACCTGTGCCTGCTTTCTGCTCCAGCTAGCTATGACCCTTAAACCATTCCAGAATATCCTTTGAAAAGTGTTATGGTCTAACATGATTCATACCATGTAGGCTGTATCTTCAGAAATGTCATTAACAGTAAAATTTGATGTGGAGGAAAAGGACATTTCTCTGTATATCAATCTCCCACCCCATTTTTTTCTGTTGCCCTCTCAGATTAAGCAGGGTTAGTAAATCATTGTTTTGTCTATTGTAGCCTTGTGTTGGAAAAAGCAAATCTCTTGAACCCTTTGTAGATTGTAAGGATAAGGAGACAAAACCTCATCAAAAAAGGAGCAATTCTTTTTCAGTTCTGTTTTAATTCATCTCCCAAAACGCAGTCTTAACTTGTACCGCAAGACTAGTTCAATCTGTCTTTCCAGTTTTTTCTCTTTATGGAGGATAGAGAGAGGAGAGGAAGAAGAGCAATTTGACCAAGCCAAGGTCCCAAATACTCTGAAGCACAGGAGCCCTTCTGTTCTTAGAAGTTAAGTAGGGTAAACCCTAGTTGGTATTTAGATGGGAGACTACCAATGAATACCAGGTGCTGTAGGCTGTTTCAGAAGAAGGATAAACCACCCTTTAGTATTCCTTACCTAAGAAAACCCTATGCAATTCATGGGGACATCATATGTCAACAGGAAACCCAAAGGCATACACACACACAAGCCTTGACAAGCAAATCAACTTTTTTTTCAGATAGACTGTACTTTAACCTTACTTAATTCTCTCTACTGTACAGTTACAAAACCATTAACATGAAGTAAAGATACAAATGTAAAGTAAAACCAATGCTTCCCTATCTCCAAACATATGTCAG